CTCCCACACAGTGATATGATACGCTGTAATTAGTTCATTTTCTTAATATTCTCCAGATGTAAGGTATGCCCAAATCTGCTCTTGGTGGCTGTGGATTAATACTAACCTTGTAAAAACGATTTCCATGTCCAAAAGACCACAAAGCACTTAAAAAAGAGCTGGTAGCCTCTTGTACACCATTAAAATTATTGCACCATCAGGCACATTCCTCACAGGGATCCTCTTCACAATCACACTCAGGGGATGGGCAGAAATTAAGGGATCTGTTGTTCTCAGATGTGATAGCTCGGTCACTGTACAACAGCAGCAATTGCACGGGAACCAGCAGGCACTGATCTTTTCCACTCCTTGCTTAATCAACTCGCTACAGCCAGGACGAGGAAATCAGATTTACCCCATCTTTTCCTTAATCAAAACTTTCCCTGACCCCCCCTGACTCAAAACATCATCTTTGCCAACTGTACCAATCTTTGCTGTGTAATGCTTCCTACCAGACTTCACCGTACACGCAGATTTTTGCTGTCTAGCCTTAAAGCTGGTACCTTCTACCCTATACCTCTTCTATGCCTTTACCTGCCTTCTCACTTTGGTCTAAGACTGTCATGCATTTCTGAAGTTGATATTCTTAGGACTCTCTGGTACATTGACGACCCGACCCAGCCCAGCTTGGGGGGGAGCCACTGAAGCTCTGCTGTGAGCTCCTTCTCCACTCCAGGCTCCCTGACATAGGTGGTGTAACTCTTAACTGTTCTTGGGCAAATTAACATTTAGGAAGGTTCATCTATGGACTGAGAAACCATTGCACTGGTATTACGTGCAGAACAAAAAGACCATACCTACTCTAGAAGTCTAAAGAAGCAGGACTATTATCTTACAAGAGAATATTCACCCACCTTGTTCTCTCATCCCTGAGTACGGTTCCTCAACATCCATCCTTCTTCCAAAGTTCTTATACACCTTTACTGCACGATTTAGGATTTCGGAACTGTAGGCCAGTCCTTATATTGCTAGTTATACCAAATTATTCTATCTTGTCTTACACTGTTCTTCACGACATTCCAGTTTATGCATTTTTGGCATAACCACTGTGGCTGAAGTCTTTGTGTATTACAAGGAATAAGAACTGCAGCGATATAAAAAAGGATAATATTTTTGGAAGGAAAGGGAAACCAGTCATGAATAGGGGAAAAATAAGTTAAAAAATATTAGGTTTGGGTGGTGAAACTGGGAGAGAAGAAGAAATGTAAGGTATAGGCATGGATGTCTAGGTTAGAAATCACCAGAGAGGAGTAACATTTAGAAGGTCCTGTTAGCAGGTTTGTGTTAGCAGTTATTATGACTTTGGATACGTTAGAGAGAGAATAGAAACAACAATCCTGCCCATGGCTATCTCTGTTCTGATCCATACTGCCTTGAGAAAATATAGGTATGAATAGAAAAATATAGATATGTGCAAGAAAGGAGTAGAGATGAAGTGGAATCAGAATAAAAAGAAACAGCCATGAATGTAAAAGGACAAAAGGGAAAAAAGAAACCAGTGGTCTCTTAAAAAAAGAGTTTTGGCAAAAAAGACTTGTTACCAGAACAGGCGAAGTGACCATTTTGGTTATATCTCAGGAATAATTAATGAAAAATAGAAGCCTGGGATTTTTTCTCATTGTATTTGGAAACATTAGAAGTTAGTGTCACTAATAAAGTGTTAAACATTATACACAGGTGTTATTTTATCGCAGCCAACCTATGAGGAGAAACAGAGGTCAGCAGAACTTTAAAAGGGAGATATGACTTACTCTGACTCCAATTTGCTTTCAAAAACATGGTCACTGACCCTTTAAATCACAAGCCAATTACAAGCATTGTAGTGCCATTACTAATTACATGCTGAGAGTGTAAATTTAAAATGGCAATTTCAATTTTCAGTTCATTGGGAGAATGCAGGAAAATGAAATTGCATACTAATTAGTTCATGTGTGTCAGACACCTGAAAGATTAGAGAAAAAAACTCTGCACTCATTACAAGTGAGTTACAAGCAAAGCACTCGAACCTTTCATTGGCCAAGCTGCATATAAATAAAGAAATTAAATGACAAAGAAAATTGATAATGATGGAACAAGGCAAAAATAGCTACAAGCCTGTGCATAATTATACTTTGGGGGACTTTGCCCATTATACACAGCTTCCTTTAGAATTTATCCAGCATTAGAAACTGTAAGTGTGTAACAGGCTACTGCTTTAGGTTCACTGCACTAAATGTTAATTTACATTTCCAAAAAATGGAGTTTCTGGCTTTGTAACGTTCCACTTAATCTCTGCAAACGTTCACTATGTTTTTCAGGAACCATCTTCTGGACCAGCTGCTCCATCACTCAGACCAACATGGAAAGGTCCCACATGCAGACCCCTCACATTAGGAGCCAGGAAGAAGCTGGTGATACAATAAAGAAAGTAGAAACTCAGAGTAGGCTGTTGTTAGAGGGAGCATTTCTCCCACAAGAGCAGAAGGAAGGTAGCCAGAAACTTAGCACAAATCAGAGTGGGCTGGCTTTTTGTAACCTTCCACATATGCTTACAAAGTATCTCCCTGGCCATTATAGAAGCTGTGCAAAAATAAGATACGGGATTTCTGCTTCTCCTCTTCTCTCAACAGAAACCGTTCACCCATATAAGGGTCAGGCAGTGTCTGTCTCTTACAGTGTATTTCACACTTGAAGAACAAGACTGTGCTCTGATGTAAAGAACTACTATGCAGGGCATAAAGTGTGAGTTTGTGAAGGTCTGTATCCTTGCCAAATCAAAACAGGGTTTCTGCAGAAGACTAAAAAGCACTTCTTCTCTACAAGTATCATCTCCCTGACAAATTCAGATTTTCTGTTCCCAGATGTTTTAAGGAGGAAAGTCTTCAGAAAAGGAAAAAGAAACCCTCTCAAGATTTAAACTTCCATTTTTAAACTACAAAAAGTACTTTTATTTTTACTCTGAACTAAAAAGAAAAATAAAATACTTGGCAAGTTTTGTAAAAAGTATAGACCAAAGTTTATCTTTAAAGAAAAATGAGAAGAAAAAGAAGAGAATGCTAGGTGCTTAGTACACATTAATCATACTACTTAATTAGCTTCTAGAAAGTCCTTACATACGATGGCTGTCAATATTACAGAATAACCTGCATGGGACTGGCACTACCTAGATTAGGTCATTAACTCCAAAAAAGAACGAATTATTCAAACCTGATGCCAGGGGCTGAGATTTGTAGACACATTTTCTCCATTGGTCCAACCTTCCTTCCAGGTAAGAGCAAAGGGAAGACTTCCCTGGGAGCAAAGTCCAAGACAGACATAATTCTGGTCCGGGTAGAAACCTGCACAGCTGCCTGACAGCTGCCTCCACGGTGGGTGGTGGCTTTGCCAAGTACATATGTGGAAGCAACAAACCATTAGCCATCCCCATCCAGTTCATCTCCTGGTAAAGACATGTCTAGGAGCCCAATGCTAAATGATTCTGAATTTCTTGTCCAGCTCATTTAATAAAGCCCACACTCTAAAGCAGCCCATAAACTACTGTAACACTGACTTTTTCATTATCCATTAAAGTTGCATTAGCTTTCTACTCCTGTGAAAATAATTCTGCTCAAGTCCCTTAGCATTACTCTTTCCAGTTCTTTTTCAATGTATAAATTTTACAGACTTCCTAACCCCTCTGGTCTTTACGGAAGAAAACTAACTTAAGATACATTAAAGGGCCTTTGTGTTTTCACTCTGCAGTGAATAACAAACAGTAACACTGGCTTCATTTTTCAGAACTGGCAAAATCCAGTACTCTCACCACACCAGTTTCAGAAAACTTCATCAAACAGCGCTTTGTGCCTGCTCTCCAAACAAGAAAAATGAACAGGTAATCCTGTACGCTTTTTCCCCACATATCTGGGAACTGCTCAGAAAAATCAGAAATGGTAGTCGGTACAAAAACTTGAGTATGAACAAAAATTATGCCATGTACACGAAGGTAACTTCAGGAAAAGTGTGTCTGACACACCCAAGGGACATATGGACAGTCCAACTTACTCAGCGCTGGTAGACAAGATGCTCAAGTACCATCTTTTGCTACTCCTGTGGTGGGTTCACTGGGAGGGAAGCACCCTCTTCACATATTGACTACACTTATGAGTGCAAAAGGTTTTCCCATAAGTATCTAACATCACCTTTGTTAACTAACAGCTGAAAATGCCAAAGCTTAGCCCAATTCACATATCATGAAAAGAAAACACCATAAAAGTAAAGAGCTACAGCAATCACTAGATAATCATTATCTTCATTAAAATACAGAGGACTTCATATTCACTGCTTCATGACTTTTACTGAAGTCGTTTGCTGGGCGCAGAGAAATCCAGTCCCCAAAGAGGGCATTGCCATTTGAATCCTTGAGTGGGAATGAAAAAAATCTGTATTTTCAGCCCCATGGATGTGGTTGAACTAACAGCTATTTCAACCTTAATTAAAACAGTTCTTGTTACTTCCAGCATGATGCACGCAATGCTTAACCTGTGTGCCCAGAGCAGCTCAGAAGAGAGGACAAACTATTCCTGCAGGCTCTGGTACGGCCAAAACCACATTAAAGCACTCTAGAATTATGCCCAAGGAGGGTTGCATGTGTCAAGGTGTCTCCACCAAGAGATACTGCTGCTAAATGCTACTAAGGACCTAATGAGCAAATGTAACATATGTGGAAAGCAGCTTCCTTGAAAAGGGTCTTTGTAAATTTGCTTCCATGGTTTAGAGCCACAGTGGAACATATGCATGCATTTTTTTAAATAAAAAGATTCGTGCATTTGTAAAGTCGAGATTATTACTGTTTTGCAACTAAATAGTCCCTTTTAGTCTAGGCTACATTTCTGACAGTGAATAAGAATCTAGCTGTTAGTTTACCACTTGTCTTCATCAGTTTCTTAAGTGACTCTGGCAACTGAATCAAGGAGATTTTTTTCCTCCTGAGCTCCATCTGTTACCTGAATCCATGGCCATCTGTCATTTTCTGCAGCAGTCCAAGCATTCACAAGACCCTTCTTATTAAGTCGTGCATAGTATGGATACCATTTCTGGAGTCCAAAAAGAGCTCGATGAGTGGATGACGCAGTAATTTGTTGGTTTGACACAATTCCTCCTTCTATTCCTAGTGGGCCAGAGCATCCTGCAAATTGAAACAAGACAAGAAATGAATGCAACTGAAGTGATCAACTCTTCTGAGTCCCAAGTGGCTGTAATTACAAATAGCACACAAATAAATCCAAAATGTCATGTCAAATACGTTATTAAAAGAGATTTAAAGTACTCGAGTAGCACCTTCTTTTCGCAGAAATGAAAAAAAAAGGTACAAAAATATTCCTTATAAATAACTATTCCCATTGCAAAATTAATGAAATAGATTAAGCTTTCAATTTCTTTTAGTTTGTTCTAGCTGAAGAATCGTGAGTTTGAGTTTTATGGATACAATGAAAGAAAATTATCCTTAGATTCAAATACTGATGTAGTTGCTAAAAGCAAATTTAAAATTCTGTAAGTACTGTGGAGATCCATATTGCTGCTCTTGCCACAGAGGTTAGCATTTAGCCAGTACGCTACATGCTATTATTGCAGTTATCTTTAGAAATATGAAACAGTTACATCAAAAACAGTTAAAGGTCATATACATCTAATCAGCAAACCACGAAGTATGTATTTAACTGTAATGTTCAAATGTTCATAATTTTATGTGTGGTATTCATCATTAATTTATTCACCTGAAATACTTGTAAACGTAATCTTTTTTAAAGTCAAGATATTTCTGCATACATTGTTTTCTGAAGCTGCTCCATTTGGGTACAGGAACAAGAGCATTCAGTTATTGTGAGCAGTCCAAACAGAGAAAATTTTGAAAATTCATTATATACAAATGATTGGCGGTCTACCTACTATTAAATACCCCCAATCACTTTCAAGTAAATAAGGTTTTTTTTTTTAAACTCAATTTTGATGCAGCATATAAAGAGAAGCTAATTGCAGGAACCACTGTAGCAGCTGATCTTGCTCAGTTGCCCAAAAGATCTTCTGCTTTGTGGGTCAACTGCACTTCAGCAATTTCGAACACAACAGGAGAGAGCAGATGTTTACTTACTTACACTTTAGGTTTTCTCAGAAGCCTGGCAGTGTTTCACCTTAAGCTGAAATGGCACTGCTACGAAATCCTTACGCCATATGAGCAGAGAGTCACACATAATTTAATTCCTCATTAATTTAAAGGTACGGAAAAGAAAAAGTGACCAGTGCAATTTTCTTCTCTTGGCAGAAGCTGAGGCAGGGAGACAGTGCTGGGAGTCACTGGCAATACAGTCCCTGGGTATTGTGTGTCACTGATAATGGAGACAAATATAAACTAAATTGCAGTTTTAAGTTTATTGTGGAGCAAGGGCCATGGACAAGCTTGTGCTTGCGCTCTGAAAAGATAAACTGAGACCCCCAGAAAGGTGGGGTTCCAAATCTGATACTTAAATGCAAAAGCTGGTTTACTTCCAGGATATGCTTAAATGAAATCTTGAAATTAATGACTGACTTGCACCATACAATGATTTCACCCACATTTTTAACAGTCCACAAAGCTCAGCTAGAATCTAAAGTCCTAGTTCTACTTTTCTGTGTCATGTTACCACCCAACAATAAAGATGCATTCAGCACTTGACAAATAACTCTGTTCATGCTGCACAAAACGTAACAAAATGCAGCTCTCTCCTGCTGCTGTGCCAGGTGCGTAGTAGTGCCAGAAGAAAACAAACTCTTTGTCACCAGCATAGGCAGGCACTGTATAGGATGTATTCAAAAAACCCACGTATGTTGGAAAAGTGTCATTTTTCATTGTGTTATCAAGTGTTACTTAAAAATTGAAAGACCTATTCAAATCTTAGCTCTGTTTCTGAAATCTTTTCATCTAATCAGAATAAAGTCCTTTGGTGTATAAACTGCCATGTCTGCTTGCAAGCCAGAGGTAGACTACTCTACTTTCCTAAGAAAACTGCCTATTTTCAGAAGTTTCTTATGTTTACTTATTAAAATGTCTTTGCTGCTTCACGATGGAAAAGAAAGTGCACACGTGTTTCTATATGTATGTGTAACTCACAAACACACGCACGTACACACAGGACTGATTCCAGCTTGCCGTGAAATTAACCACCCCTAACAGCTGGTATAGATTGATAAGTATTTAAAAATAGATACGTGAGAAAACAGAAGAGAGCTTTCCAAGAGGAGCTTAAAAAGGAGGCATCGTAGGTGTTTTAATATGGATGTGGAGCTGTATTCTTTTTAAATATTCTCCTCTCATGGTGAGGACCACAGGGATGAGGACACCTGCCAGCCCTGCTAGCATTATTCAGTGACCTAATGGGAAATATGTGTGCACAAGGACAGACTGCCAGCATGTGTCAGAGCTGCTTTTGAGTGGGGTCCAGAATAAGGGTATTTGGCTTTAGCAGATAATTTAATTTTCAAAAGAAGAACATGTATTTTATGATGAGACCCTTGATCTCCTAAGACAACCTAGCTTTGGCAGACTTGGAAGAGATGTGGACGTTCATTGTTTTTGCTTATCATCCTTTGTTTAAAGGTGCAGAACTGTGGAAAGTTTTGATTTGAAGGCATGTTAGTTCTCATGCTTGAGATGCATTAATGACGTTTGAAATATGTGTGAATTCCTTACAAGAGAAAGGTCAATTTTCCTTTCTAAATTGAAGGCAGTTAAATTACCAAGTACAGCACTTAACTCTACTTTGTCAGCTATGACCATATATGGTCAGAAGTGTTTACCTTCCTTAGCTTTAGGAGGATCATTCCTGAAAGCCAAAGCAAATCTCTGCCTTCAGGGAATAGGTGCTTCATTGCACAAGCTTCTTATTTTAATTGCAGTTCCAGTCTTGGTTTGTCATGTTTGTCAGTTTTTCAATGTGATTTAAACACAAAATTTACCACTCCTAAAAATTAAAACTACCACATTAGAGATACCTTCTACTTCAGTGTTCAGTTCAAGCATAACAACATGAGATGCATAGGAAATATTACTTACAAAGTAATATATATGTACGCACCACTAAGATCTGTCTTTAGACGACCAACTTTTTTCACTGCCCTGAAGGACATCAGATCATTCTCATGAGGTGGGAAGCTTGAGACCTGCTCAAGACCTGCTTGCAGGTCCAAATCACAGAACTTGCAAGGCAATCCTACTCTGACCACAGCAGCGTTGATAAATTGAGCATTTCCCTAGGCACAGGTCTCACAGATGGGCCTTGAGGAAGCCCACCCAAGGTTATCTATCTCTTCCTGAGACATCAGGTACCACCACATGCATCCTGAGGTTTTTTTTTGAGTAGTCTTACCTTGAACTTGACCACATTGAATTTAACCTTCTGTTTCATAGCCAGGTCAATCTGTATTTCAAGATATTTTTAAAACTCCTCACTCCATTTTAATAATGCTAGGTACACTTAAAATTATCGGAACATTTCGCTATCTTTCTGTTTTATTGAACAGACAGGACTTCACCAGAGATTTTGCGAGGACTCTGTGAGTAAGCTCCTTCCAATGTTAAAGCTGCCCATCTACCCACTCTTTAGGTATTTATTTTTAATCAGAGATTATTTTACAAGAAAACCTTTCAATTTACTTTATCAGTTGAAAGGAAATAGTTGAACACATTTTTGGATAGTCAAATACCACACAGCAAATGGACTTCTCTTAGCCATATGGTCATTAATTTCTTCCAAATACTCCAATAGATTTGTGAGTCATGCTTTCTCCTTACAAAAGCTCTAATGGGGCTATTACTCTCTAAATTCCCAAGAAATTTTCTTTGCTTGAAAACTGTCAGCTGAATAACCTACCTCTGGTTCCATCAAACATGATGTATCAGTAAAGGACTGGTTACAGACTAGCTTCTGCATAAGATATTCAATTTGATACACAAACAATACTTTCCTTCAAGTTAAGATATCAATTATTTCTTTTGGTGCTTAAGGGCTGTGATATGCCATTGACTACTAACAATGAAGGAAACAAGCAAATGCAGCTTTTGGAGATTGTTTGTCTTTTAAACAAAACTGAGATACATATTTTGCACAACAAGTACAAGATGTATTATATTTTGTTGTTATATATCTGTTTCTATTAAATCCACAGTTCATTTAACAAAAATCACGACAGCTTGGGAAACCGCAGTCTCCAAGGAAGTAATAATATCACTACAGTGACTCTGTAAAATTCAGTCTGGTCAGTGTCAGTCATTAAATAGAAAACCATTTTTACTAGTTAATGCTGACACACTGGGGTATGACAATCAGCTTGACGCAAGAAAGTAAAAAAAAATAAAACAGCAGTTAAAAAGATGCTTGACAGGTTCATGATACAGATTCACAAGGAAGATTTTGTCACTTGGAGCTGTTACTTTAGTGTCATTAAATAGCAAAATACTAACTTAGGCAATATTGTTTTTAATCCTACAGTGACAACTGGTGTGCACTAACAAAACCCTATTGACGCTTCTCTTGTTCTCATCAAACACAAACCTATGCCCACAATGCCCCATTGTCCATGAAGAATGCAAAGGTGTGCCAATAAACTACATGACTGTGAATGGATCCAGTGAGGGATGGGGAAAGTCAACAACACAGGAAAAGTGAAGGATTCATTTATATCTTTTCAGTTCCCCTAAGAATCCCCACCAACTCACGTGAAGATGGCATGGTTATAAAACTACCTTGAAGGCTTCTTTTACAATCTCAAACTTAACTAGATCTGAAATGTTATGTACTATTTTGCACCATAAAGCAAATGATCATTAGTCCAGATTTCACTTCCAGACCAAGGGTGTGGGGGTCAAATAGCTCCCCAGACAAAAGATGAGTTCTGCGTTTCCACCCTTACCTCTTACAACAATAAATCCCTCCAGCTGAACAAAAATATTTGTGCAAAAGGAAATAGAAGAAGATGACAGCTTACTGTGGTTTACACTGATATCTCTTCAGAGTTAAATGAGAATAGGGAGATATGTTACTGATTTCCCCTCTTAATAGGGGAAAGACAAACAATTTTAAGATAAATAATTACAACAGTAGAAGATAATAAGCAGAAAGCACTGGGTAAACATGTTACTTTAGTATATTTAAA